ACCTGTGAAGAAAATATTGATTTGTGCCCTTTATCAATGCGGAAATGTGTGCAGCCTTTGCTTGTAAGGTTTTTGTTTTGTCTCCTTAGTGTGTGGTTTAATACCAAGTTAATCTGATTAAATTCACCCCTCATGTGTGTGAGTGCAGCCACAGTCATCACCGCAGTAATTACTTTGGATGTTGCACACCACTTGTTAATGAAACCCTTTTTGTTCTTATTTGGAGTTTCTTTCTCATTTAATAAAATTGTGATGATTTTGTAAGGCAACCAAATACCTTTACCCAGGGAGAATAAAGGACGAGCAAATATTGACTCACTGAAAACAGATTTAAGGAAGAAAAAGGGCTGAAAGAAGGGTTTTTGTCCTTTAAGGATAATATTACTGTGGTTATAAGTAGGAGCCAGGAAACTTTGTCCAGGATATTCACTTCCTAATATCCTTATCTACTCAGTCATGTTTTACAGTCTATCACTCAATACCTATTTCTTTAATGGCCGCACAAGTCATATTCCATAGACCTGCAGAAATCTGGGAAATTGTGTCAAAAAGAGGAAAAAATAACCTTTAAGTGCTTTAAAACAAAGATTCCATCATGTTTGTGGAATGCTGTGGTTTGCAATATGGAAACAGACTGAGTCCAGAATCCAGTGGCTAGAAAAAAAAAAATAAAAGTTTGTCTGAGAAGGAGGAAAATCTTGGGTGGGGGTGAGGGGAGCCTCTGGAATTACACACCAAAATCCCTTGGACGTGCACACAGCAAGAGAGAACCGTGCAGACACACTCCTGTGCTCCCTGCATCTTCCCCTCCGCGCAGCTAACCACACGGTGTGAAGGGTGGGGTTTGGGTTGGAGGCACGAGTATAACTGCGCTCACTGTTTTCATTTCAAGTGCTGAGACATCTCTGGAATATTCTGAAGGCTACTGGCAAAACGTCACCGGCACTGAATACAGACGAGTCGATAATTATTGTATCAGTTAAAGAAACTGAAAACTAAGGATTCCAAACAACTGAGCGGCAGCACGTCCACATCAAGAGCCTCTGTTTTAATAAATGTGTGGTCGAGTTGTGAAAGCTAGGCCGGTTCCCTGACATTTCTCTCCTCCTCATCTTGCCTTTAAACTGATTTAAGTGCTGAGATCTTACAGGCAAAATGCTTGCATAATGGATGTTTCCAAAAATACAGAGGAGTAGGCAGGCGGGTTGACCGAGGTTTTGGCGGCGCGCCCCAGCCACGGGCCCTGGGCCAGCCGTTCGCGCTGTGCATTCCCTTCACTGGACCACGCATGCTGGAAGAGGTGTGATGAGAGCATGCAGGCATCCTTCACTCTGCCGCCTCATCCTCTTCCCCCTCTGTATCCCTTCAATTATACAGACCCCGACACCCCTCTCTTTTTGTTTTCTGAAAAGTATCCTCTTGCACTCTTGTCTCACTCTTTAATGGCATTCCCTGCATTTCCTCTCGTCTTTGTTGTCACTGACCTCATCATCTCTCATCTTCAGCTGTCTTCTCCTTCTCTCTGATCTCTGAGACCACTTTGTGATGATATTTCAGTGTACAAACATCTGGAAAAGATGAAAATTGGGAAGCTTTTACTAGTTCCAGTTATTAATTCAGATTATTATAAAGAAAGTCGTTGTTTGTAACTTGTAGCTGCGTCTTTATTGGTTCCTAAAGTGCCTGTGGAGAGATTTTCTCTTTAGCATGTTTTAAAACGATCTATGCAAAGGTTTAATTGGTGCTCATTATGTACCTTTTATCGTTTCACAAACATGGTAATGGTTAAAAACACACAACAACAACAATGCTGAAATGGTGAATACGTCAGAAAAAGAGATTCTGAGTTTATCGTCTTTGAATTTTGCCATCTGTAAGAGTTACGGAACCTACTTAGGGGATTTGCCCCACACACAAAAAAAAAGACAGAAAGAAAGTGCAAAAGCAGTTACGTAAGGCACAGATGTGATGAATGAACAGAGATTTTCACAGTGCTACCACCATTTATTCACTCAAGCCAACACCATATACATCCTGCAGAAAAATGACAGGAAAAAGACTTTCAGGAAATTATGTTTTCATTCAAGCACCTTTTACCTACTCCCTCATTCCTGTGAAAAACCAACACAGACCCCTGTGCAAGTAATAAAGAAAAAGGGGGAAAAGTTTATATGGGTCTTTACCACAAATACACCAGTTCTTAAACACTCAGCAGTCTCACGCATCAGGGTGGTGTTGTGGTCAAGCCATATGGGGCGCCACTGAAAAACTTGGTGATTTGACAGAAGCCCAAAAGAACACACATACACTCAGTCTTAATTGACTTGTAAAGCTCCACTAAACACAATTTTATGGAATAAATTTTAGACTAGTCGCTGGGGATTTGATATCAGATTGTGCCCAGCTTGCAATTTTGCCACCACTGCAGTTTCTTTGCACACAGTCCAACGGCAGTTTATGCTTTTGAAGATAAAACTGAACAAGCCTTGTCAAAGTTGCCACAAAGTCGGCAGATTATAACGTCTAAAGTTTGTGTATGAAATAACTTTGACTTATGTGGAGGAGACAGAAGCAAGAGAAGATTTACTGATCCGCACACCGCTGTAGGGGAAGTGGACAAGGCGTTTGTAAGGACATCAATGACCTCTAACTCTTTGCAAACTGACAGCTCGGGCTTTGGTGCTACTTCTCTAAGGTCCTTGTGATACCCGTGCTCCTCTTTTTGTTGTCGAAGGCATTCATTCCACGGCCCTAACCACAACCCAGAGTCTAGGCAAATACAATGGACTCTATGATTCATGGTTCTAACTGTTGACTTTAAAGAGCTGGATCAAGCATTACCCGCTGGAGATGTTGGCAGGGCCTTTAACCCAACCTGTGGCAGAGATGGCAGCAGACACTGACTTTTTAGAATCTGTAGAGGTGTACAGGAGATGTGATTTTTCACAACCAGGCCAAAACCCAGCCTGGTCTCTGCTTCAAGCGTCCCTTGCAATATGTTAAATACCTTCAGAACCAGAGGATGAGACTAGGAAACACATGCCAGAGCATGATCCTTTCAGTAAAAATGGAGAGATACTTAAATATTTAGCTGTGAATTTGTATCTGGATACTCTGAGAACTGATACAATATGCCCACCATCTATTGACATCTGCGTCTCTAAACCCTGTCAGTATTTCTTGACCTCTGCAAGAGGTTATTACAAAGGCAACAAGAATTAGCCTTTATCACTGATGCTAAGATGATTTTACAAGATCTCCACTTATAAAGATATGTCTTATCCTTTTATGAGGTCAAATGCACAGCTGACAATTATTGCTCAAATGACTAAATTTAGGTAATTCATGTGTTGAGCTTCCTGAGTGGGTTTTGTAAAAACAGTTTTGGTTCTATAAAAGGGAAACCACAAGACCATTTATGTAATTCAGTTACTACCTTAAGTTAGCTGTTAAAATGTAATCCTCTGGACTGATAAAGAGCCTTTTTGGAAGGAAACAAAATAAAGTGCTGAGCCCAAAATGACCCTGAGACTTTGAAAAAAATTAAATCTTTCAAGAGATTTATGGGGATGGATATATTTACAGCATCTTTTTATCTTTGCACGTTTGACCAGCCCTCAAATGGTCTTAAAATTTATGGTGCAGATGAGAAAATGCATCTTGCAGTAGGTGTGCTTGACAGTCTTGGGAGTAGTCATCGCCCGAGGGAGAGGCCCTGCGCAGCGGTGTCCACATGCCAGATTCTTATACGGCAGAACCGCCATTTCATCAATTAAATTAATGAAACTGATGCTCACTCCTTCAGGTGAAGACTTTTTTCAGTTAAAGCACAAGCAGAGACTCTTCAGTATGATGGACAGTAGCTGAAACAGAGATAAATTGTAGCTTTTCCAACCACAGGCCTCCCCCAGCTTTGGTAATGACTGGGGGAGGCAGACTGGAGCGTTGGATGGAAGTTTAGTTACCAGGCCTAGAAATTACATTTTGGTGCTAACTCCAGGCTTCATTTGGTTGGACCTCAAAGGAAGCAAAAGGCCAAAGTAAACCCAGACCTGAGAAGTTGTGTCTGGGATACTTGGGAGGAAAGCAACAAATGTCAGCATGCTCACAGTTCTCACCGTCTAAAAGCTGTCTGACTAATCCTCAATATTCCTCCATGATCTAAACCTGAAGTCCTCTGTAGCAACAGAACACTGTGGCATTGTGTCTCTGCTCTTAGGGACTTTGTGATTCATTTACTGGCAGACCTTTTTGGGTTCATGCACTGTATTTTTAACATTCAGTACTATATTCAAATCCATCTTTTCAAAAAGGAGCTGGGATTTTTTTTAGGCTGGTGGTGTGCGAGTTGATGTACTCAAAAATATATATTTAAGAAGAGTCTTATAGTCAAAAGTTGTTAACTTAGTCATTTCCTAAAGACAAGCATGAATAAGAACATAAGTTTTATTTTAAATCCCCAATGGGTCAGTTAATTTTTGGGCTTCAGCAGCATTCTGGTGCTCTGATCCAACAGTGCTCTCTGCTGGCAGAAACAGGGAGCATATTGTCTGTTTAAAAAGTGTAAAATTATGATTATTTTATTTAAAATGTGTGTTTTGACATATTAGCATGATAACTTTATTTTTAAATGTGTTGCTTTTTGTGAAAATGTTCATTATATCTTAAGTTATTTCCAGTGTGCATAATTCTCTTACAAGTGGTGTCTAATGTCTTAATATTTAGCAAAACACATTCATATGTTATTGTCTGAAATTATTAATTCATACATTTTCAAAGTAAAAGCATTTTATTAAATTCTTCTTCTTTGTTTTTTGTTTTGTTCTTCCAGGTTGACTTTGCTTCAGTGCCAGATCCTCAGTCCACAATGAGGGTGAAGAGATGAACATGCAGCAAGCAGCCCTGTCCCTGCGGTTCCTGCCACTGGACGTTTACTAAATCCCATTGCCCAGAAGATGACGTTCCCGAATCCCAGATAGCAATTCTGAGGACCAGGACTTCACAGCACAGACTGTGCACCATGGCAGGAGAGACTCAACAGATGCATACAGTCAAAGAGCTGGATGCAGGGTCCAAACAGCAGCATGAGGATACAGCACTGGAACACCAGAGTGACAAAGCCACAAGGAAGTCTTCTGAGCACTTTTCAAGCACAGGCACTGAGGCCAGACTCGGCAACAGAGAGGCCAACGCAGAAAACATAGAGAAAGAAAGGGACTGTCCTCAGCAGCGTGAAGCTGTCATACGGCCGCAGCAGACAGGGAAGATTGACTTCAAATCATTGCACAACAGATCAAAGTTTGTCACTGACGGGACTTGGTCGAGTGGGAAAGGTAGTCCCCAGTCACCGAGTGGAAAGGGCCGCAGCCGAGAGAAAGGGAAGCGGTCAGGAAAGGCAGAGCGTGGCAACCCACAGCAGCTGTACAGACTAAGCATTACAAGTCCACGCACCGTTGGCATTGCCTATCCACAACAGAAAGTTTTGCCACCCAAGAAGTTGGAAACCAGTAGTGACCCAGTCTCAAGCAGCTACAGATTCCACGTTTCCAGTATGCCAGAGAGAGAGGTTGAACTTCAACAGGAAGAGCTCAGCTACAGTCGCTTCTTCCAGGAAAATCCCCCTAACATTACCTCCCCAAACTATACCTCACAGCCTCTGGGTTCCTCGACTGGAACAACATCCCACCCACATCCACCCCTGTCACAGCAACCCGTTTCAATGGAGAACAACAGTGCACAGACTGGTAGCTCTCTCATTTTGACTGACTGTCAGCTAAGCAGCTCAAATGCTTGGCAGTCTCCTAAACGGACTTTTAATGGTGCTAATTATGGACTTCCATCACAAAAATCTTCTGCTCTCCCAGAAACCAGTAAGGCAATTTCATTTGTGCCTGGTCCATTTCAATACGGATATCATTTACTGGAACAATCAACCTCTGACTCTTTTCCTTGTGAACAGAACCCCCAATCCCAAGACATTGCAAACTCTTCACTGGGCTCTGTTCATGTCACCCACAGCTCTTTTCCTTTCACCCCAGGAGCAGGACAAAACATTGCTCACAACAGCACTCAGTTCAGTAATGAACATCAGCCAGAGGATAGAAGCTCTTATCCCCATCCCCCACAGTCCCAATTTATTCAGGCAGTGGCTTCATCCATCCAATGTCCCAGGAATCTGAGTGAGAACTCACCCAGCAGTGACAGCTCTGGCTCCAGCTCACAGCAGTCGGAGCAGGGGAAGCCCGCTCTACCTGAGAGCACAGAAAATATTGCACAGGCGGACGGTCAGGATGGAGCCATCACCTCTGGGAGTAAAAGAAACTGTCACTCCAAAGACACAGCTGCCAGCCAAAGAACACTCATCCAAGGTGGTATGCACACAAGAAATGTTTCACAAGGCCCAGGCTCTCCAATGCACTTTCCTAACAGAACATTTAACAATCCTACAGTGAATATTGTTTGCACAAACTCAAGTCCTTTTGATAAAAGCATCAACAATAAAGTTCTGAACAGGATACCACACTCTTGGGAGGGGCCGAACAAGACGTATTTACCAGGTGATCTAAACACAATTCAGTACGCTGATATAAATGAGAAGTTTCAGTTTCAAAGCCAGACGGCTACTGACCATAAGCCCAATTCATCTAAAAGTAGCAGAATGCCCTGGCAGCAAATACGACCGAGCTCTGCCCTGCCAAGCCCAAACAGGATGGAGTCATCAAGTCAAATAAGCAATCAAAAACTGGCTTACATCGTGTCCTCCTCTGACTGGCAGGATGAGAGTAAATCATGTAAAAATAACTCTTTAAAAAACCTGGGCCATTTTCAGAGCAACAGAAGTGACGTGCTGTCAAACCAAAGACAAGAACATGTAAAACATAACGGTAACACCGTCTCCGCTTTTAAAGTGGAGATAAACCACACGAAAGTGTGCGAGTCCAAGAATAAGTCTCTGTACTTTGGACTCAATCAGGCTCTTTCAGCAGCACCAGCACAACACTACAACTATCCACCATTACAAGTCCCACCTTTAGGGCTTATGAGGGTGTCACCATATGAATCCCCTTTGCCCTCCCCAGTTCATAACCCTGCATCTAGTAGCACTTGCTCCTCCCTCTCACCGGCATCCACCAGCCCGGTTAACGTCAGCTCAGAGGACAGCCAGATATCAAAATCATCCCTGCCTCACTCGTTCTATCACCAGCCACAAAGTAAAGCTCAGTTACCTTCAGATCACTTGAACACACACCCTCACCAGTTTCATCCTGATGCTTCAATGACTCTTCCCTTCATATCAGACAGGCCCAAAGACGATATGATGAGCTACCTGCAGAACAACACACAATCGAAGACGGCTATGGATAAAGGGAAAGGTTATGTGGATAGTTTTGGAGTGGAGCATCACCAGCCTCCGCCGTCATACTCTGCCCATCAGCTCTTGGCCAGCTCATTGGCCACAGCAAATCTCGACCAGTTGGACGTGCTTCTGACCTGCAAACAGTGTGATCAGAATTTCAACAACCTGGCTTCGTTTTTAGGCCATAAGCAATACTGCGCTCAACAAACGTTTGCACATAATGACCTCAAAGATGTATCAAAGATGGAGGAGAATCATAAGCTTCACGTAGAACCAGTTAAAGCAGCTCCAACAAACGTTTCGCTGTCGAGATGTCCATCTGATCTTCACCTGTCGTTGTTGGGCCTCAACAAAAACGGAGAGCTGATGTGTGAAAGCGACACGAAAGGAGAACATAAGGATGACCCGCTGAAACTCTGTCTGTTCTCTGGTCCAGGTAACCTTCCTGTCCCTCTGTCAGAGCTGGAAATGGAAGATGCCAAACTAGACCGCCTAATAACAGAAGCTTTAAACGGTCTGGCTAACCAGTCAGACAACGCAGAGATAGACAGCAGCTTTATTGATGCGTTTGTTGATGATGACCTAACCACTGTCAAAACATCATCAAGCAAACAATGTGTGAAAACAAAAGAGTCTATGGTCTACGAGAGCAAACACAAACCATCAGCTGATGACAGATCTTTCACACAAGGAAAGTATTGTTATGACTCTGATGTTGAAAGCCACAAGAAAATGTCTATGAATTTGGAGGAAGATGAGAAAATTAACATTAAAAAAGAAATCTCTCATAAAAATTCAAGAATCGCCTTGAGGGAGAAGACGTGGGAAAGAGAGAGCATAGTAAAGGAGGCAAGAAAGCTGTGTAAGAGCGAGGACAAAAACACGAGCGCACAAAGATTTCTCTTATCCAGCAACTTTTCCGAGCATGCCGGTGTAAAAAGCTTTAAGGACAACCCTTCACTTCGAGGGTCGGCGCCTTTGCAGGCCTCCACATCTCCAAACTCAAAAACTGCAGCTAAAGAAAGCAAGAGGAAAAGCACTGGAGGGGGCACCTGGAGCAAAGAACTCATTCACAAAATAGTTCAGCAAAAAAACAAACTCCACAAGCTCCATGTGAAAGGTACGAAAAACCTTCAGTTTTCCTTGGTGATGGAGAGACTCACTCCCACTGTGCAGAATCCTGCATTCGGAGAATACGACTACGTCTCTGACTCGGATGATGAATGTGAGCCTGTGAAGATAGCGAGCCAGGGCCGACTGAATCAAAGCAGCCGCTGTAAATACACGTACACCAAACAGTGCAAATGGCGTGCGAGGAGCGAGAGGGACACGGCGGCGTGGAGACACGAGCCGAAGGAGAGCTTTGAGATGAAGAAAAGCGAGGAGCTGTCCGTCACACCCGAGAAACACGGGTCTCACCAAAAACTTAGGCGGCGAGGCAGCAGGTCATCTACGAGCAGTGACCTCAGCACATCTGTGAGCATTTCAAGCGACGGCCTCAACAGCCCCAAAAGCACTGATCGCACCGACTCAGACAGTGAGAAGAAGGCAGACAAAACGAAAGAGTCTGCAGAGCCAAAAAGCCATGACAGGTCTACCCCACAGAAGTTATTTAAAGAGTCCAACACTCTCGCACTGACATTCACTAAACCTGTCAAGAAATATAACGCAGACAAGGCTGCTCATTCTGATAACAAAGTGAGCGCAGAGGAACCAAAGAAAACTCATCCAGAAGTTGCTGATCCACTGACTTCGCCGCAAAAGGCTAGAGACACGACAAAGAATGTTGAGAAAAGAGGAAGTTCTCATGCAAAACCAAAAGAGAAACTTGTATCTCATAAAAGGGAATTTGACTCTACCATCAGCTCGGAAAGACAAAACCTGCAGAGAACAAAGACAGAAGTAAAACCAACGCAGAGCAGCTACACAAATAAGACACTAAAGGTTGACTCGCATTCTCCCACCATCACCAAAGAAACTGACTTTAACATTGACAGAAGCACAAAGAGAAAAAGAGAAGAAGGGTCAGAAGCAACGCTGCACAAGCTATCAGGCAGCGCCACATTGGAGAAACAGAGCGACAGTGTCTGTACGGTGAAAGAGGCCATTACTTTAGTCAATGACCTAGACACACACCAACCTGCATCTCTTTACACATCTTTGATGGATGAGGTGTGCCTGTCCCCGACTGAAAGCCACAAAGATGCACTCCACCTCATGCCCTACCCACTGGACCAAGAGCAAGGACTCATGAAATCCCCGCTTTCATTTGACACCTCATCAATATTTGGGGATCTCGCAGGATTTGACAGCAGTCTTTATTCTGAGATCCCCATTCAGAAAGAGGGTTTCCCTTCTTTAGAGAGCACAGCTGATAAAAAGGAAGAGTTTGTCTCATCTTTTTCCACTTTTATGGAACACAGAGACTGGAACCTGATGGTGAACCCCGTGCTACAAGATGAGATATCTCCATACAAAGACAGTTCTGAAAAAACAAATGACAAGAAGTCGGACTATAATCACATTTCTTTGTCTCTGCCAGACAAAATAATTGACTACAGTGCAACTCTCAACAGCTGCGTGTCAGAGGATGAGTTGGAGATAAAGAGAATAGTGAATGAGCTTGAAACTCAGCTGCAGACAACTAAGCTGGAAAGTACATCACTACTGGATCAGGATACCTCCAAGCAGCTGCAGATGAGCAAGTTTTCACCTTTACAACTGGTGGAGGAGTCTGAAGAGGGCAATGGTTTAAATGTCAAATGCCCAGTGCAAGGAATAAATCTACAAGTTTCAAGAATACCCTCAGAGCATTTCACTGAACCAGAACTTCCATGGCCAGGCACATTCCAGTTTGAGTTAATTGGTGAAAATCATAGCACTGACACTCCAGTTCCCAGTGAGCGGGCTGAACTCAAAGATAAGCTTCACCTGGACCCAAAATTAAAAGAGAGATGTGCTGAAAATGAGACCCTTGTCGAAACAAAGGAGGACATTTTAGAACAGAGACGATACACAGAAAACCTCATGAAAAGCCTGGAGGTGATTTCAGACTCCATATTCAAAAAAGAACCCATTATATCAGCACCTCAGAAGCCAAATGTCAACTCTTTCACAAGTCAACAACACGAAGAAACTGAATGTCAGATCACTGATGCAGGTGAGAGAGAAGATCGCAGCGAAAAGGAAGCAATTACCGTAAAGGAGACTATTCCATCGCTCCCACATATCAATGAGCGGAAGGATGAAATTGAATTCATTCTCAATGAGTCACAGTCGTTTTTCTCCAACGAGACTGACCCTTCAGTCTGTAGCAACCAGCCAATCTCATCACAACCTGCAGAGAACAGGGATTACAAGGCGGAGGCTGAAGTCACATCAGAAGAGGATACTGCAGCAAACAGTCATTTGGCTGAGTCTGCTCGCTGCTCGAGTGTGATGACCCATTGTCCACACGAGTTTGAAAAGTCTTCCAGGGACAGTGATGCAGAAGACAATTTAAATAAGCTGAATAAAAAGAAGGATGATGGCAGCAATTATGTATTTACAGAAGGCTGTGAGGAAGCAGAGGCTGTGAAGGAAATCACTCATGAACCTGTGGGTCACCCTTCTCCACCAGCTCTAGTTGACCCTGCTCAAATGATTGGTGAGAAGATAGCAGATGTGATTCTGTCTGCACTGGAACAACAATCCACTAATGACAATCCTGATATCACTTCATCACAAGGGGCTGAACTGACAGTGACCTGCCCAGACAATGCAGCTGAGGAAATAACGGTTGAAACGTCAAAACAAAATCACTTGAGCTTAATTTCTTCATCGAGAAACTCCAGTCCTTCAAAAACGTTCAGTGAAACAAATATGTCATCGGAGATGGTTGTTGCAGTCAAGCCCTGCAGTCCTATACTGGTGAAAACAAATACAGAAAGCTGCTGCTCACCCCTCCACGACACCCAGTCTGCAGAGGGACAAAACAATCCGCTGCTCCTGTCACAGTCTGATGGCATCGTTACCAGTGATTCCCGTAAAATGACCCCGTTTAATGAGTCGTTAAAAACCGACACAGGTCTCAACTTTGAGTCTGCTCCGAAACAGGAGGAGATTTTGAATGTCCAAGATATCAAAGAGCATCTTCCTGTCAATTTCATGGCAAGTCAGCAAAACTCCCCCTGCAGAGAGGCAGCAGAAGAAAGTCACTGCATTTTTTTAAACTCCGCCTCATCCACCAGTCCCCTTTTATTAATCTCTCCTCAACAACCCTTGCAGAAATTAGTTTCGGGAGAGGACTTGTGCCGGCCAAAAAGATTTATCGACCAAGGCTCTGAAAATGTAAAATCTCCCACAATCAAAGATGACAACCAAATCCTCCAAGATGCTGTAAACAATGATTCGTTAAAGGAAAAGGCTGGGACGGAGTGCTCTCTGATATCTCAGCTGGATTTAGGAGTCACGGAGTGTAAGCTCTCTGAGGCGGTCCGCTCCTCTCCACTTCCTGTGAGCAGCACAGCAGAACCACCAGAGGTGACAGACGGTCTTGAAAAAAGTGATCTGATGTATGATTTAAAGCTCAGCCCTCTCAACTACAGTGTCCTGTCAGATGAACCTCCGCAGCTGAATCAGTTCGACTACATTCCAATATCACCTGCCAGCAAACCCGAGGAGAATCTCCACACAGAGCAGAGAGCAGGAGAGTGTGAATCATGTGACTTGAGCATCAACCCAGCACTGATTTTCCACCAAACTGAGACAGAAACAGCGATGGCGCTGGACACAAATCCCAGAGCTAAACTGCATCCATCAGATGAAGCGCTGAAATTTACATGCTTTTCATTGGGTCTCACAGACGGACTAAAAAAAATCGACTTCGCCGATGATGATGTGAAGACAAGCTTGGAGGCTTTCCATGACCCAGTTGAACCTGCTGAGGAGTTGCACATCCATGCTGACCTCCTGAGCAAAGCTGAAACAGAGATTTTAGTTCCTCACAAGGCTTCTGCTGATGAGGACATTCTCAAAAAAGAATTTTCAGATAATCTGCCCACTTCTAAACCACTCACCATCTGTGAAAATGACCAGATGCCCCTTCCAGCAGACCAGTCAGAGAAGCAGCTAAAAACATTTCACCAAATACACAAAGAAACGACGCAGAAGAAGACGCAGAGCAGCGATCAACAGGGTAAAGTGCTCTGCGAGATTTGTTTTATGTGTTTCAGAACAGTGCCAGGCTTAAAGAGACACAAGGCCATGAAACATTCGGTCAGAGCTGAAAAATGTGCTGGCCCACAGAGCACAACATCAAGCCATCAGGGGACTATGCTTATTTATGAAGCATCGCAAACTACAGAGAAAAAGCATAAAGATGATTCACAGACTTGTTTCCCAGCAAAAGTAGATGGGCTTCCTGAGATAAGTAGCTCTCTTGCATCTAAAGCAGCAGAGACAGAGTCAGTCCTGGAGGAAGTGGCAGCAGAGGAGAAAACCCATCAAAACACCCCGCTGCCAGCAAAGGCAAAAAAGAACAACAAAGCCAGAAAGAACAAGAACAGTGAGCTCAATCCTGACCCTTTCTCTGATGAGCTCCTGCATTTATTAAAAACAGACATTCTTCAAGCCATAACTCCTGAATTTAAAAACAGCACTCTGCAAGAGCTCTGCAAATCCCCCGAGGGGAAAATCAATGACAGAAGTGCTGCTCGAACAGAAGAAGTCCCTCACTTTGTTTCTTCAGATGCAGCCTTTAACAATACAACTCAAACTGCAACAAAAGAGCCAAATGCACTCGGTGAACCTGTGGGATACGATCAGTTTGGTGACACAGAGGTGATGAAGTGTGTGAGCGCAACAAAGAGGCCGTATTTGGAAGTGTGTGTGGACAGTAACGTTGAGTCTATGGAGGAGAATATTACTGGAGAAAGTGATGAAACCAGACAGACTGTGTGCTCTGTGGGGGAGATGTGCAAAGTGAAAGGATCAGACGACAGCCCCGGCCTGGACATTCTTAGAAACGTGTCAGCAGAGATTAAATGTGGGCAAAACAGGAGCCCTTCTGACAATCTAAACCCCATTTCCTGTTTGAGTCCATCCCCTCCCAGTCCGCCCAGCATGAGCCCAGACCTGAGAACTTTGCTGGATGATGACACATTTTCTCAACTGTTCCCAAGAGATGAGGAGGCAAAAAGGAAAAAATGTCAGAGGGTTTACAGCAAAAGAAACAAAAGGCCAAAATTATCCCTCCATTCAGATGAAACCGTGGACTATCTTCCTCCTGAAGCTTTCATGCAAAACAGTAATCAGTACGTGGAAGCCCGAGCTGAGCAGAACATCACCGACAATCAAACCAACCACTGTGAATTTGAGACCATTTCTATTGATGATGCCATCATGTTGAACATGTGCCACAACGGCACTGTAAAGGCTGATGGGAAGCCGTTACCAGATGGTGAACAAAGTGATCAGCTTGGTGATATTAATGCCCTGGGGAGCACTGATGATAAATCTGGAGCTGAATGGAAAGAATCCAGCAATTTCACTGACTTAAATGGTGGCTCGTCTGTGACCCCTGAACCCAGCCTCTGTAAACCAGAAGAAGGGCTGAGCTCGTCCTCCCCTCTGCCTCCCCCAGCTTCTCCCTGTGCTGTGAATCCCTGCACCACAGAGGGTCCCCAAACCTTCCACAGCATTGACATCCAAAACATCAACACCACATTCCAGCTTCCTGACATTCAGTTCTTTGACTCCAGTAAAGAAATCTCAGTAGCTCCCCCTCCTGAAATCAGTCCTGCAGACACGGAGAGCAGAGACGATGAAAAGCCAAAGAAAGTGACGGAGCGGCGAGGCAGGAAACGCCAAGATGGAGGAATGAAAGTCAAAGACAAGCAGTACAAATGCAAAGTGTGTTTCACCTGGTTCCTCACCCTGGGCGAGCTGAACTTTCACAAACTTTCCCACAATCCCTCTCCCCCTCCAACCTGCTACATGTGTGTCCAGCGCAAGTTCAGCTCCCGGGAGCAGCTGAGGGACCACCTAAGGGAGAAGCATGCCAAGAACAAGACGGGTATCTGGACCTGTGGCATGTGCCTGAAGGAGATATCAGATGTGTGGATGTACAACGAACACTTACGAGAGCACGCCACTCAGTTCGCCAGGAGAGGTCAGACTCAAGGCTCCATGCTGGGCCTTCCAGGGAGCTTCATGCAAGAGACAGCGGTGAAGAACTTCATATCCTCAATCATGCAGCAGCGTCCCAGCAAAACCAACAGAGAGTCCAGCAAATGTACTAAAGAACAGGAAAAATCAGCTGCTGCAGAAAGTTCTGAGGGGGCTGAGGTCAAGCTGCACAAAACTAAAAGCAGCAACGGAGGAAGTGGGAAGCAGAGCTCATTAACACCACTCGAGGTACTGCACAAAACAGAAGCTCCTAGAAGTGTGGAAATGCATCCCAACTGCAAAGACCCCTCGCGAGACTGCCACCACTGCGGGAAACAGTTCCCCAAACCTTTCAAGCTCCAGAGGCATCTCGTGGTGCACAACCTGGAGAGGATTTTCCTGTGTCACAAGTGCCCCGTCTCTTATCAGGAGGCCCAGGAGTTCAAAGAGCATCTGAGGAGAGCTCACGGGGAGGTGGATGAGCTGGACTCCAAACACACAACACTGTACACCTGCGAGCTCTGCGCCGACGTCATGCACGTGATTAAGAAGTCTTTCATCTGCAGCACCTGCAACTACACATTCTCTAAGAAGGAGCAGTTTGATCGCCACATGGAAAAGCACCTGTCAGGCGGGAACAAAATCTTCAAGTTTCGAGGCGTTCTCAGACCTGTCAAAGTGTCTGGCTCCAAAGAAAATGAATGTGATTCACCTGCGAGTAAGAAGAGGAGACTTCTCTCTGACAGTCTGCCAGAGAACAGTTCGGACAGCGGCATCGCAAGTTTGAGCTCACTGCATTTAAGTCAGAACCCTGAAGCTCAGTCGTCAAAGCCCTCCGTACCCACAGCTGATGATTCCACACAGACATTCACAAATGGGGACCACAGTGACACAAATGTGAAGACGGAGGACATTTCTGCAGACTGCTCTCAACTAGCAGAGCTGGAGAACTGTGTTCGTTTAAGCTCAGCTGAGTCTGCTTCACCCAAGAAGGAGGAAACCGACTTGACTCCTTCACCTCACAAGGATGGCAGCGAAAAACCAGTTACTGAACCATCCGGCGTAAAAGAGGAGAATGAGTCAGTCTGCATTAGACCAGAGGTGACCTCCTGGACTGCATCTAAAGAAAGTTGTAACGTGGAAGAGGAGATCATTAAAGCCAAGGAATGTGACACAACACAAACTGAAGATAAATCAAATTTGCCTCCAGCTAGTGAGAAATCTGCCGTCTCAACAGAAAAGCAAATCCTTCGGAAGACATCTGAGTCGGCAAAGCATAAATTAGCTGTTGATGAGATGAACCAACGGGGGGATGATGAGCCGAGGCATCACACATTGTTCAGTAATGGCAGTAAACAGCAGGTATCTCATGGTGCTGAGCAGCAAAGTAGCAGTCAGATGAAAAACAACGCTGCCCCGGCTACAGCGGCCGACAGCGTGAAAACCAGCTCTATACCCAGCTGTGCAAAGGCCACAGAATCAACTCCAGTCATCCACTCCAAGGTTCCCCCTCTGGCATCTGCTACCAATGAGGACAAGGATGTAGTCAAACCACAGAAGAGACGAAAAGAAATGAAGTCCGCACACATTCTGCAGAGACTTTCCTCTCCGGTCACACAGGAAAACTTTGCCGTCGATTCGAAAGCCAAAAAGAAAATTCGCCCAAGCAAGTGTGCAAACCCCTCCCTGCAAAGAAAGTCCGACGGATCCAACGAGTACCCAGTGCTGTCCTCGGTGCGGGACGACGTCGTCGGCAACAAAATAGTTTCCAAGTGCAAGAATGGAAGCTTGAGCTTGTCGTCAAAGAGAGGTTTGCTGGAAAGCTGTTTACCAAGGAAAGCGGACATTATTAAAAAGGGACCTCTTGGGAGATCCGTGCACTCTCCTGTGTCTAAAGTGTCTTCAGTTCCCATGAACAACTCTTTGAATAAACCAAGACCAAAGATGGGGGTCAGGTCAGTGGAGAGTAACTCTTACCGGACAGCCGAGTCCCAGAATCACCTTCTGAGTCAGCTGTTTGGCCAAAAACTCACCAGCTTCAAGATTCCTTTAAGGAAGGACACATCAGAATCTATTAACTGAGGGGGGGGGGGGGGGGGGGGGGGGGGTACGTTAGATTGGGGGGAGTTTATTATCCCCAGCTTATAGAATTCTGAAAAAATGTTTTTTTTGTA